GAAACTCCCCAAGTCTCCAGAACCCTTGTTAGGAAGAGATGTGGCTCCTGGGACCCAGCCAGGAATCCCCAGGGGTAGAATGGCTCCCCGCTGCTCCCTGCTGCCAGCTCAGGCCTCTGTGGACAGGGAGGCATTAGGCAGCCCCCTTTGCCATCTCCGGGGCATCAGCCCTGCTCATAGGAACCGATGACAGAATGCAGATATGAAGGCAAAAGTGGCTTAGAGAAGATCCCCAGCTATGGATGGTCACTCTCAGAGGTGCACAGACGTGCCCATTGTGTGCTCCCAGAGCTATGCCAGCACATACACTCACAGGTATATAAAGACAGTCGTGCTCCTATGAAGAGGCACGTAGTCCCTGGGATGATACACAGCTGTGACATTTGAACTGAGACACAGATGTACACCTAGCAAGGGACATTCCCTCAGAAATATCTGTAAGTATACAGAGGGAGAAATACACACATATACAGCTGGGCACACACAGACCTAGCGTATATTCTCAGACACACCGAAGGACACATGTTGAAGGACCATGTGATCTGTGTTCTGTGCGAGATGGATATGTGTGCAAAGGAGCAGATACGAATGCACAGTAGGGTACAGTTGCACAAGGGCATGTCACACTCAGAAAAGGACAGTCGCACACAAAGAAATAGTATACTATACTTAGTACCTGACCCATAGATACCCAGACAGGCTCATGTACCCAAGGAAACAGCATAACCAAATGATGAACCATGTCACCCAGAGATAGGTGGCCATGTGTGCACAGTGACAGAAACTGACACACACAGCATTGGTCCTCCTCCCTGAGGTGGCATCTGTCCCAGGAGCATGCTCACAACCTCACGGAGCCTCGTGCCCCTTCAAAGATATCCTGTGTCCAGCCCCGGGGAGCTGAAGAGCCTACCGTGGCTGGGAGGCCCATCTCATACCGAAAGAACGCCCCCTGCAAGTTTGAGGGTGGATCCTCTGGGCTCAGCTCCTGGGGGTTGGCACAGCAGGCACCCGAGTGCTCTGGGTTGACTCGTCTTGTGGGTGGCTCAGGCACTCCCTAATGACTCTGGCAGGTGGGTGGCCTTGGTTCCTTCTCTACCACCTCCCTTGGGGACCAGGAGAGGAGGCATGGCCGAGCTGCTGATTGGAGGGAGGGACAGCCAGGCAGCAGTAGGCCTCACTCAGAGGTGACTTCAAGGAGAGATGGATTAAAAAGGAAAATACAAGAAGAACTGAGGGCTGCATAGGTTCCTGTGCAAGGAATGCCGGAGGCTGGGAGGCGTGCATTCCCAGCTGCCGTGTGCTGGGGTAGCTCGCCACACTTTCCCCGTGTTGACAGGTAGATGCCACTCTCCTGTTTCACAGGTGAGGGAACAGAGGCCCAGAGGGACAAAGTGGCTTGTCCAGGGTCACACACAACTGTCAGAATTATGATTTGAACCAAGGTGGTCTAGGTTCCAGGGACCCTGCATTTAACCGCCTCACCAGACCGTCTGGCCACTCCATCTGTCTGAATGTATGTGCTCCCCAAGGTTCATATGCTGAAATCCTAACCCCCAAAGCAGAGGTATTAGGAGGTAGGGCTTTTTCCCTTTCTTTTCATTCTTTGAGACAGTCTCACTCTGTCACCCTAGGTAGAGTGTTGTGGTGTCATAGCTCACAGCAACCTCAAACTCTTGGGCTTGAGTGATCTCTTGCGTTAGCCTCCTGAGTAGCTGGGACTACAGGCACCTGCCACATGCCTGGTTGGTTTTTCTATTTTTAGTTGAAATGGAGTCTTGCTCTTGCTCAGGCTGATCTCAGACTCCTGAGTTTAAGTGATCCATCCGCCTTGGCCTCCCAGAGTCCTGGGATTACAGCTATGGGCCACCACGCTCATCCAGGAGGTAGGGCCTTTGGAAGGTGAGGACACAGAAAGAAGGCATCATCTGAGAACCAGGAAATGGGCCCTCACCAGACACAGAATTTGCAGGCACCTTGATCTTAAACTTCTGAACCTTCAAAACAGTGGGAAATAAATTTGTGTGGTTTATAAGGCACCAGCCTGTGGTATTTTGTGATAGCAGCCCAAATGGACTCGGGGTTAGAGGCATAGGCTGGGATACAGATGAACAGGGGTTCAAATGACAAGACACTTCCTAGCTGTGTGTCCTTGAGCAGTTTAATCCATAAAGGGTTGCTGGGTGCTTAGGATGTGCTAGGGGGCACACAGGGACAGAGAGAGTGAGAGGATGTGCTCTGGGCTAAGCCCTGAGCCTGGCACTGGAATGAAAGCCCAAGATGACAAAAGGTATCCTCAGAAAAACCAGCAGCCGGAATGTAGCAGTCCTCACTGTGCTAGGGTGTAAGGTAGGACTCTTCTAGCTTGGGGTGGGGTGGGACAACTCCCTGGAGGAGGTGACCACTGTTCTGAAGGTTAAGAGTCCATCACGGGCCTGTGGGGCAGAAAGCAGGACAATCCAGGCTCAGGCACAGCATGTGCAGAAAAGCAAGAGACTTGTTGGGGCCTGGGATACAGAGCTCAAGACGGGGAGGTGTCGGTGATGAGGGGTGGGGAGAGGACACAAATGCCAAGCAGAGGACTTTGGATTTCAGAAGGACCATGCCACAGAGAGGTCAGAGGTTTCCTGTCCAAGGGCAGGAAGCAGGCAGAGCAGACACGCTCAGGCTAGTGCGGGCTATGGTAAAAACACAAGGGGATAGGGAGCTTGAGTCTGGAAGGCCTCAGAAGTCATTTCAGAGGCAGACGTGCTGACCAGCTCAAGCATGGCCATAGGGGGGCAGGGGGGAGAGGGGAAAGGAAGTTGAGGAGGGCTCCTACATGGCCGGCTTTGTGGGCTGGTCACGCTGAAACACCAGAGGAGAGGCAACTTGCCCGTCTGTGTTGGGATCAGTGATGGGTGCAATTTGGGAGCTGTTGATTTTGAGGAACCCACAGGGCACCATGGTGGCTTCCATAACTGGGATCTGATTGAAATATCCACATGAAGGTGCCGGGAGGAAAGACAGTTGTTCAGGGAGTGAGACAAATATTCTGGAGGCAGGGTGATTCTGGAATCTGGTTCCAGAGGATGTTAAATCCAAGGAGTAGACACAATAATGATGATGGCTCAGTAGATGTGGCTGCAGCCTTGCCCCATCCTGTGCCGTTCATGGTTCAGGTGCAGACAGCTCCTGCCTGCAACCCTGAACTTTCCACCTCGGGCTGCTGAGCCACGCACATGCAGGCTGGAAATGCCTGGGAGATGACACCCAAGGAGCAGCCTCCAACCAAAGGCCACTGGGAGGATAAACACACCATGTCCTCAGCCCCCAGCTGAACCACTTGCAGGCATAGTCTACACTATGGTGGGAACTGGCTCACCAACACACCCTGGACTGGCTACTCTCTCTGCCTTGTCTCAGTCCCCCACTTGCGCTTCCTGGTGACCTCCAGAAACTGCTTGTCCTGGAGTCTCCTTGTGGAGGAATTCAACCCAAGACAGCAGCTCAAACCCTCTGAGCTTCAGTCCTCTGAGCTGTCCCCGGGGGAGTATGATGTGTGCTGTGAAAATTGGTGAGCTGTGTGAGGCTGCCAGCATCCTGCCCGGCACCCTGCAGTGCTGGGTGAGCTCCCGCCCCCTGCCCGCATCTCATACACACAGGAGGGGTTTAATGAAAGCTCCCATCTCCCCAGACTGCCCAGAACAGCTGAACTTTCCTTTCCTGCCTATCAAGCCCCTCAGGAGAGCCAATCCCACAGAGCTGGCCATTCCCAGCTCTCTTTGCTGAGCACCATCCGCGCACCCCGGTGCCTGCAGCAAAGGCTCCCTTGGGGGTGTCCGGACAAAAGGGTGGACCAGAGGCCATATGTCATCTGGCAGATGGATGTCTGGGTTCTTCCGCGGTGAATAAAAATCATACACATTCCAATGCACTGCGCCAGACACTGGCCCCACTGGACAGCATTATCTCAACCAATCCTCACGGCAACCTGCAGGCTGCTGCTGAAGCTCCTGCCTCACAGTCCAGAAAGCCTCAGACAGGCAGGCCACTTTCCCAGGTTCCCACAGCCAGGCAGGCGTGGAGCCAGGATTCAGACCATAGTCTGTAGACACCAGAGCCCAGGTGCTCCCGTTTCCCCCACGCCCACGCTGTGGCTCAGGCTCTGCAAGAAGGAGCTGCCTCCTGGGCTGAACAGGACCTAACTGAAAGGGCTAGGAAGATCCTACTTCTGCTGGGCACAGAGCTCCTGGGGCATTTCTACAGCCCCAGCTCTTAGCTCAGGGTCGGGCATATAGTGATGTTCAAGCTGGGGGATCAATAAAAGCATAAACATTTCATATTTTTGGCCAGAATTTGCTCTGTGGCCCAGACCTGTTATCGCATCAGCAGTTGCACAGTGCAATTTCCCAGCACTGTTACTCCTGCTGCGCCCTCCCACAAAAAACTTCCCCCTCATCAGACTTTCCTCTCCCTCTGAACTAAATTCTCGAGTCTGAAGGAAGCAGTCCCATTTGTCCCACTAAACTGAGGCTCCTTTCAGCTCTCTCAAAGGTGGGGACAAGAAAAACCTGCAGCAAGCACCGACTGCCCCATTTTCTCCACAGCCCCATAGTAGAGCTGATGGCCGCACTGGACAGACCCAGAGGAGATAAACAACCAGCTCAAAGGTACCGGCCAGTTACAGGCTAAACTCGGATCCATCCGGGATCTATCTGGCCCTCAACCTTTCTCCACTACCCTATTCCTCCCAGCCCAGCGTGCCTGCCCTCCTCATACAGTGTGGCCAGTGCAGATCTCAAAACGTGTAAAGCTGGTGACACTAGACCTGTCACCTTAGAGTGGGTGAAGGAAGCACCTGCAGATGGATCAGCTTACTAACTCTAGGGGCCGATGAATTATTCATGCCACCATTAACTTGGAGGCCCTTTCCACCTCACCTCTCTTTCCCTTGCTCCAGACCCTCAGATCCTGGCCTGCCCGACCTCTGCAGATCTGTGGGAGCCCCTAGAGCAGAGATGCTGGCAGAGCTGGGGTCCTATCTGCTGCTGGCAGTGACGCTGCTGGGCCTGGGCCCCAGGGCCCAAGCGATGAAAGGTAAGTGCTCCTGGGACAGCCAGGACCTGGGAGGAGAGGAGAGGGAGGACTGGCCAGCCAGGGACTTGGGAGGTTTCTACCCGTCTGTGGGAAGGCAAGAAGCACAAGCCCCAGTTAGGGTAGTTGGCTGAGTTGAGAGTGTTTGTTTCTGAGATGGAGGAAGATAGTATTTATTTAGTGCCTGCTGTATACTGAATGTTTTACATACATGATTGCATTTAGTCTTACAACAAACTCCCAAGTAGGTATTGCGTGCACTCCCCCATTTTACAGATGAGGAGACTGAGAGCTAGAGGTGTTAAGTAACCTGGGCTGCATGGTTACAGAGGGTGGAGAGAATAGCTCAGAGAACTATTAAAGCAAATAAAGATTGGAAGCAATCTTTATTTTTCTCCTGAGATCCTGCTGTGTGTCCCACTGCCAGCCAAGTGGAATCAAAGTGCCTTATTATGGCATTCAGTGTCCCGTGGCTCCAATTTCCATGTCAGTCTCAGTTGCCCACACCCCTGTGCACGCTGTGCTCTGGCAAGAGAATCACAAGCCTTTCCGGAGATGCCTCGTCCTTAGGGATCTTTTGTTTTTGTTTGTTTGGGTTTTTGAGACAGAGTCTCACTTTGTCACCACCAGTAGAGTGCTGTGGCCTCATAGCTCACTGCAACCTCAGACTCTGGGGCTCAAGTGATTCTTTTGCCTCAGGGTCCTGAATAGCTGGGGATACAGGTGCCTGCTACAATGCCTGGCTATTTTTAGAGACGGGGGTCTTGCTCTAGCTCAGGCTGGTCTTGAACCTGTGAGCTCAGGCGTGGTTTTTTTTTTTTTTTTTTTGAGACAGTCTAACTTTGTTGCCCTCAGTAGAGTGCTGTGGCGTCCAGCTCACAGCAACCTCAAACTCTTGGGCTTAAGCAATCCTCTTGCCTTAGCCTCCCAAGTACCTGGGACTACAGGCGCCTGCCACAATGCCTATTTCTTTAGAGACAAGGTCTTGCTCTGGCTCAGGCTGGTCTCGAACTCCTGAGCTCAGGCAATCCACCTGCCTGGGCCTCTCAGAGTGTTGGGATTACAGGCGTGAGCCACCTTACCAGGCCATCCTCAGGGATCTTAAGCCCTGCTTTCCCTCTAAAAGTGTCTTCTCTTTTTCCACCTGAGAACATCTGCCTCATCCTTCAAGCTCAGATGAAGGAAGCCTTCTATGACCTTCCACCAACCTCAGAAACAGTGTCACTGGGGCTCTCAGAGCTCTCTGCTTGCCCTGTGGTCCCAGAGGGCTTTACGCTGCTCTGATTTTCCAAGTGTTGTTCACCTATGTGTGAAGCAGGGCAGTGTCCTTTCCCCCTCCTGCAAGGGCCATGCAGGTGCACAGGGGCTCAGCAAACAGTCAGCGACGTCTCATTTTCCTGCAGGCTCTCATGGGGAGGCATAGTCTGCAACTCGCTGGCCACCAGTCACTGGTAGAGAGGGGACAGGCACACACACAGGCGTCTCAACCCCTACCTGGGTTGTGGGAGGAGCTGGCTGCTCCTGTTTTCCAGCCACCAGGGCTCTAGTAGCCTTGGGGTAACCCTGGGGGTCAGTGTGCCTGGCTGTCATAGTGGACAAGACCTCCTCTTATGCTGGTGCTGGGTGGCTGGGCTGCAGGAGCTCTGCTCTGAGGCTCTCACAGCTTTTATTGACAAGTGGGCAGGGCTGGGCTGGAGAAGGATAAGGACAGTCCCTAGACAGAATGTCTCTTTGTCCTCTTGCCATAAAGGTGAGGATCAGACGCCATTCCTGCCCTGTCCTGCAGCAGAGCCAGGCAGGGTGCTGATAACTCGACCTTTGTGTGGCCTTTATCTGTCAGGTGTTCACAGCCACAGCTCACAGGCGTCATCCCCATCTCACAGATGCACAACTGAGGTCACAGAGGCTAAGCAATGAAATGCCTTAGCCTTCGTCCATGCCACTTCCTGCCCCAAATCTTCCCCGACAGATGAAATCACCTCATTCATCCTCGTCAAACTCAAATATCACGTCACATCCTCCGTGAATCTTATCCCTCCCCCAATCCTGGCCCCAGCAAGGTTAGCTTCCCTTCCCCTGGACCTGAGAGCCTGTGGCCACAGCACAGCCACCTGGGTGGCTTTATCTCCTGTGCCTTACTCCGCCTCCCCACTGTGTGCTCTCCTGGGAGGGGCCCACTCTGGATCAGCACAGGACTGGTACAGAACACGTGTTTGGGCAATGAGTCTTCTCTTACAGAGACTCTAGTCAGGCGTATTTTTCAGGATGACTTTGGTTGCAAGAGACAGAAACCTAAGCTGGATGGGTTTCAGCAGAAAGGAATGCGTGGGCTCTGTAACCAGGGAGGCAGTATACCTGAGCTGGGCTCAGGGATGCGGGCAGCCAGGGACTCTTGGCACCAAGGTCCTTTCCACTTTTCATATTGTTCTTTCAGTCGGCTGACAGGTTCTATCCATAAACCCCAAATGCAGCCCCACCTAGAGCCCCCACAGCCCACTTAGGGAGGGAAAGGATTCCGATCCAGACATTCTCGCCTGGAGCAGACGCCCACCGTGTAGGCCAGTCAGCTGTGGGATTGCCCAGCTAGAGTCACGTGTCCACCTTCCCCACCTCCAGGCAAGGAGGAGGAGGGAGAGTTACCACGGGAGGGAAAGGGAGGCGAGACTAGAAGAGGGTGTGTTGTAGGAGGCAGACGAAGGGATGCCAGGGGCAAAGCAATAGCTGTCAACTACAGCAAGTAACTGCCCTTTCTGGGGCTCAGTTTTCTCAACTGTCAAATGAGTTGAGAACACCTGCCCTGCCTATGTCGCGGGGCTGTTGTGAGGATTGGATCAGATCTTTCACTCATTCAGTAAATATACCCCGAGCTCCAGCTTTGTGCCCAGGATGTAGCAGGGAGCAAAACAGACAACAATCCTTGCCCTCAGAGAGCTTATGTTTCTGTGGAGGGAGACTGCCGCTGAACCAAATAAATAAGTAGAATACACAGCACAGGAGGTGTTGATGCTCACGGAGAAAAGTATAGCACTAAGGGGAGAGAAAGGGTCTGGGCAGGGGAAGGGTTTCGGGCTGTAAACAGTGTGGCTGGCGATGGCCTTGCTGAGAAGGTGACCAAAAATGTGTTGGCTGTTTTTTTAAGCTTTTAGTTATGAAAAATTCCAAACATACGCAAACTAGAGAAAATAGTATAATGAATCCCTGGGTCTCCATAACCATCTTCCACCATTATTGACAATTCTGCCTTTCTGGTTTCTTCTGTGCCACCCCAGCCCCGTGTAGGAGCATGTGGAGAAGTCTAAAGCCAATCTTAGATGTCACATTATTTACCCCTTAATAGGTCAGGATATGTCTCTAACAGAGAAAGACATTAAGCTATACATAGGCCTGACAATTCAGCATGCGAACTTGCCACCCTGCCCTCATGTTGGCAGCGCTATACAAACAACTCAGTAAGGTTTCATAACCTTGGTGTTTCACTATCTCATAGCTGTGTCTGTGTGGATGTCTGACAGTGCCTTGCTGATTGGTGTACTCATTTTTGTGTGTTTTGGGTGTCGTCGCAAAAATGTCTGAGCTTGAATTAGAGCAATGAACAAACATTTGTACCTTTCTTGTTCAACTTGGCAAGAATGGAAGGGAAATCAGGGACAAGTTAGTTCAAGTTTATGGGGATAACGCCATGAAGAAAAGGGCGGTGTACAAATGGATTAATGTTTTTGCGAGGAGAGAAAAACCAATAATAAGCAGAACTGACGAAAAAACATTGCAAAAGTTTGTCAAATTTTACATCAAAATCCGTGGCTGACTGTGAAAAGCATGGTAGATCAAGTAAACACTGACAGAGAAATAGTTAGGAAAATCTTAACGGAAAGTCTTGGCGTGAAAAGGTGTGCACAAAAATGGTCCTGTGAGCAAAAGCGAAGGAGAGTCGAAGTTTGCCAAGACCTCTTGGAGAAGCAGGACCATGATTTGGGCTGTGTCCTCACTGGTCATGGAGCCTGGGTGTTCCAATACGACCCTGAAACAGAGAATCAACGTGCACGGTGGAAGTCAGCCAAAGCTCCACAACCAAAAAGTTTCATCAGAAGTTCAGTCCTGGGTGGCGCCTGTGGCTTAAAGGAGTAGGGTGCTGGCCCCATGTGCTGGAGGTGGTGGGTTCAAACCCAGCCCCAGCCAAAAACTGCAAAAAACAAAACCAAAAAAAGTTCAGTCCAAATTAAGAGTCCAAATGATGTTGCTAAACTTTTTTG